CTATTTTATATGAATATTCTTTTTATATTAATATATTATTATGGTTAAGTATATATCATAATATATTTTATGCATATTTAGAGTTTAAAATTAGATAAAACTTTATAAATAATTTACGTGTATATATATAATAGGTAGGTAAGCTTATTGGGTATAATAAAACAATGTTAATCTTATCGATCCACTTTTAAGTTACCCACTTTTAACATGAAATAATTTAAATTTGTACCTGCTGTATTGACTATAATTATGTTTGAATGAAGAAAAAAGGAAAACAATTTTTATCAAATCAGCAAGTTATGAATTTATAATTAAAATATAGATTTAATGAGCACTTATTTTTGTATTGTTATACGTATATCATAAGTAATAATGTGTTATAATAAACTACAAAATATTTGAAAATATTCTATAACTCAAATATAATATACACATCTTATGTATAATTTTATTAAGTAATATACATAGACACACAGATAATATTTTCTATAACATATTTATATAAGAAATTTAATTATTCACCTAATATACATTTAATTTGAATATTTGAATTTATAAATTTATAATAATTAAACAATTAGAAAAAGCGTTAAGTTAATTATATATTTTTTATAGTTGGTACACATGTGGCCAGGGTTACTAATTTATTAAGTTTGATTATTAAACTGAAAAGAATATAAATACTTCATTAAAACCTAATAATTAATAACTTGGCGTTTTTTCTTATTGAGAATTCAATTGTTTCAAACGTGTTATTATATTCTTATTTACAAAATATCTACAAATCAATAAAAAATGATAGAAAGTATACTTAAAAAAAAAGTATGATAAAAATATAGGTGCCTATATTTAAAATAATTAGACGTTATCTTTACGTTTTTATAATATTTTTATAAGTATCTAAAAGACAGGGAAATAAGGAATGTATACCTACTTTTACATAACTAGTATTTTTATAGGTATATGATGTATATTGTATAATAATATGTATTATAATGGCGGAATAAATAAGAGTAGCTGGTAGTACCAGTATCAGGGCCAAGTAACAATAACGAACTAACAAGCAGTTGACACGGAATGGTAAAAAGGTATAGGTACTTTTAACTGAGATTTTCACCAAGGTCAAAATGGAATTGTCACATTTTTTGTTAAATAATACTTCAAAATTTGTTTAACGAAGACATACAACTACCTATTTTATTATCATTAAATCCACATTTTATAGTACAAGTTGAAATGTGTAAATAAAAATAAGTGAGAACACTGTAAAAATGTTTTTATAGAAATTTTCACATTGTATAAATCAATAATATGCGTAACGAATAAAAATAATTTGTTAGAAAATTGCTATGAACCATTACTAATTACATTCGCTATAGTTGCTGACATAATTAAGAAAGTGAGATCTAAGAAAACCATTTGCTATAAAGTATGAAAAGAAAAATTTTCTTTTAATTCATTTGCAGCCTACATGTACGAATATTATATTCGTTAAATACTTAAATCGCACACATAAAACATTAAAACACGGAAATAAGTAATTAAAATAACTGGACTGTACAATACAAAATATTTTCGTAACTAATTTATTGTTACCTATATGATAAGATTAATTTTGGTTATATAGCTATAACTGCTATAGGTATTTAAGATATTTTATACTAAATGTTTTTACTGTTTTAATTGTTATTCATATTAAGTCATTCATAATTATATACTAGCATGAATAATCACAAGCGTTGTGCGTGTGTTTAAGTTCTTATAGAATTTTTGTAAAAATAAACAATAAAGTTTTTTAATAGTTTTAAAATTTAAATAATAACTATACATTTTTATAATTTTATAATTTGTAAAAACCATCTGAGTACACTATACCTACTTGAAATTGTGTGTAAAAACATTATTTCCTTTAGCAGTAGCAATAGTAGCATTTATATCACCACAGGATACTCCTCAAATGATGGAAAAATCTAAGAGTGAGCATGTCTCACGAATAATTATGTATGTGTGGATATATATTATTAGAATTCGAGTGTATTAAGGATGTATCCGTATAGCCATGCACCTTGGAGTGAATAACGACTTCGAATATGGAAGTTTTGAATACATAGTTAACTCCTAATAAGTATAGAATAATATATTATGATTGCCAAGGCCAGGGTCATATTATACACATTTTTATTTTTTTAAAAATTGTTCATTATCTACTGTTGTATTTACTGTTGTATACAGCAATTAAATATACTTAATACTTATACAATATTAGTATAAAGTTACATAAAATTCGAGTTTGAATACGATTAATGAATTATCTTCTAATCGGTAAAACAAATTATTATACAATTATTTAATAAGACATTACTTCATATGACTAGTTTTTACATTAAAGGATGGTTTTAAACATTTTTTGAATATATTATATTGCGTAAATTATCAAAAGTCTTAACATTTTTACATACATATCTATGAGGTTATGAATTACCTATATTATGTATATTATAAGTTTATTTTAGTAAATTAAAATGAAAAAAAATATAATAATATATAGATTAGGCAATTTTTGTATTCTAGTATTATAATATACAAGCATTAAATGGCAAGTGCTAAACAATATAGAATTAAAACGCATGTCAATAATATTAATATTAAATATATTTATAAGATTCAAAAAAAAATTTATCAATTTTAAAAACTTATAATTTTAAATTATAATTTAAAATTATTATCTATTTAAAATATTAAACAAAGCAATTATTAATTACTTATAAAAATAAGAAGTTGCACCTATACTTCTGTTATTTTAGAACACAATTTATTTACATCATACACGCACACAAACCACATTAATGTATAAAATCATTTTATTAATTTTTATAAGTTTTATTATTAAGGTTATAAGTATTACAATGGAACAATTATTATACTAAGATATTTAAAATTTTTAAATTCCTAATTAAATGTTATTTATTTTTTTATTATGCAGCACATTAAAATGTTGTACGAAACTCGTCTTCAACAACAGTATCCACAAAGGTTGAGATAATGTTTTTTCGATTATTATTAAATTAAATACTATGAGTTACAACCTTATTTTTTTTTTATAAAATATTTCAAAATCATAGATCAGTTTTAATAATTTTAAATAAACAACGCCATGTCAGATTAGTCACACAGTCAGTCACAAAATAAATTATCTAAAAAAAGTTTATTTTCTGATCACAGCGTTAGATTTATACAATATTACATAACATATTAAAATATAGAGAATGATTCGATATAAACTGATGGAATTTAAACTTTAAATATCATGACGTTTTGATATTTTGGCATTGGAAAATATTAGTTATATAAATATAATTTATATAAAAAATAAAAATGTTCCAAAACAATTATTTTTCAAGCTGGCAATGGATATTAATGATTTTAACTGCATAAGCAAGAGTAATAATCGTATTTCTTAGCCCAGATTTTATTGATAAACCTTTTTTGTTTACCTTGTGGCTTGTGTTGTGACGTAGTTTATTAATTAATTGAATAATTGAAGACTAAAATACTCTTGATGTTAATAATTATCGGATATAAAAAAATCTTACATATATTACAAACTTTTTATTTTTAAAAATAGATAATATTTTTCTCTTAAATAAAGTAAAATTTATATTTTTTGTATAACTTTTTATAAAATGCCCTCTATAATTGGTTCAAAGTATCTAAGTGTATAATATATTATGTCTATAATTAAATATCATAATTCATAATTCATAATTATTGCATAAATTAATTAATGAGTTTGGTAAATTTAAATTTAAAAAAAGTTAAAACATGTAAATAATAATTTATTTAAATTACATAATTGGTTCTATACAATTATACAATATAACTATTTAATTTAATTCATAATAAAATAATTTTAAAAAGTCGTTGCGTGTTATTATAATCTACTATTTAAATACGTAATGAGCTTATTGGCTTAACAGTAAAATAATAGCTAGGTAAATAAAAGTATAAATTGTTATATTATTTTAACATTTTAATTTGTATAACATTTTTAAATCGTTAAAAGGTAGTTTCGGCATGAATAAATTCGCGTTATAGTTGATAATTGTCTTTTAATATAATGCATATTATAAAAAAATGAGCACTGACTATAAACCAATTAGGGTGAAAATTAATTTCTTTTTAAAAATACTGCGTTAGCTAAAAACTAGAAAATTTCAATTAAACACATAAGTAAATAATAATTAGTACCAGCAAACGTTTCATATAACTCAGTACCTACTTACGCGGAACAGACATTTTTATTGATTTTTCGCATTATAAATATGTAGGCCTTTCTATATTATACAGTGATAGGTACACTCGCAAGTAATAAAAAAAAAACTTACCCTGGTAAAAGTGCACCATTAGACTGACTGAAAAGTTTTTCTCGTTCTTTTTTATTACATTCTATTACCATTTCAAATTCGGTTTTAGCTAAAAAAAAAAATAACATAATATTGTACAGACATGTTAAATAATAATAATTTCTAATTAAAAAATTACCTAAATTAAATTTTATATGATACAGTGGAAAATGAAAGATTATTTTTATTTTTCAATTTTCAATTATACAATATTATTTTTGTGGTAAAGATTAGTGTTTAACAACAAACTAGCTTCCTCCTTGACTTACTTCTGAGTTCTGAATACAGATTTTCTCCTTTCGGATATTTTCCACGGTTCTAAACTTCCGTGAAATCCATTCACGGGTCGAGAGTTTATATATTTACTAGCAGCGCTATCTATTAACTTAATATTTGTAATTTATAAAAGTTGCTTGCGTTGGTGTTGTTTTAAATCAAAATATCAAATAACTATTTTTTTCTTCGTATGGTTGTGTTGTATTAACACGCAACAAGTGATAAATTGATTCATATGCGGTTGTTTGATAAGTATTATCATCTCGTACATGTGTCATGTAGTATGTATATTCTACAAGCTATATAATAGAGGAGTAATTGTAAAATTGTTACACCTACAATCGATAGTACGATATACTTACTTGTCAGTATTCAGTAGTAGGTACTCAGTACTTCAGTAGTCACTAGTCACTACTCACGGATTATAGGTGTATTAATATATTAATATTACCTATATTTTCCGTGAACTGATCACTACTCACTAGTCAGTCTGTACTCTCTACTCTGTAGTCACTATTGACTAGTGTACTGAAGTTTGTAGTTGGTATATCAGTAATAATAATATTGATACATATTGAAGTATGACAATTTATGACAAGAATGTGAAGCTAAACTATTTTACTATTTTGTTTATTTTGAATATTATTATTATAAGCATCGAAATGTGTTAACTTAATTATTCAAAACATTAATTTCTATTTGTTCTGGTCCAATGAGTTGAATTTATACGTTTTTCAACCATTGGAATGGGTTTTCCAAAGTTATTGTTAGTGTTAGTCATCCTTCCATATCTGTATTGTGAAAGTCTGGATGATGGTAATTATTTTTAATTACCAATTTATATGTTAATCTAATATTTTATTTTTATTTTTAATATAGTAAAACTTAAAAATTATCAATTAATTATTCATAGGTATTAATTTATCTTATTTTATATATCCATATGTGAAAATAAATTTATATTATTGCTTTTTTTTTTTTTTTTAATTCACAATTAATTAATTTTATTAATACAAACTTTATTGTTTTAGATGAATTTAAGAATGTTAATACCAGTTTACAGTTAATTTCAAGTTTTTCTCAAGGTTTAATTCACGGCTCAATATTATTTTCTCAACATTCATTGATTGATGATATTATTTTAATTTCTGTTTCATTAAACAATTTTGGCAATTCATTTCAATGGTCTTGGCAAATAAAAGAATTTCCTGTTGATTATACTAATTTAGCTGATCGTTGTAGTGACAAAAATCTTGGAAATGAGTAATATAAATAATTTTTTTTAAATATGAATTGTTTTAATATGTACATTATACGATGAATTATGTGAATTTATTAATAGATTATTAAACTTTGATGTAACATTTGGAGAATTAATATTAGAAAATGATACTAGACGTCAGTTTTCAATTTCAAAATCTATATTAGAATTAACTGGTCCTTTTGGAATTTGGTATAGATCTTTGTTACTCAAAGATAATGCTGGGAATACTATTTGCTCAACAATTATGGTATGTGTATTAATTATTTTTTTAATAGCAAGCATATATTGAAAAAATTATTTTATATTTTTTTATAATTAGTGGTAGGTACTATACTTTAAATATGTAATATTTGCCTCAGTGTTTCTGTACTGAGATCAAAAGTAATTTATTTTTGTTTTTATTTGTTTTTTTTTTGAAAATGAATATTATTTAATTCCACTTTGTATAGATATAAAACACATATTCAATGTTTATTTATTATCAATTTTATCTACAATCAGATTTGGCTATTTTTAGCTTCTTATGGTGTTAAAAATTAATTTTTTTATACAATTTCAGTTTGAATTATTTAAAAGATAAATCTATTCATATTTCATAAGAAGTATTTTTAACTAAATAAATAATATTTTACAGGCAAAAGATGATTCAGAATTGCGAGTGGCTGAAGCTAAGTTTCAAAATCGATTTTTTGGTAATATATATATAGTTTGGGTTGGTATATCAAGCAGCTTAATGGATGCAATTATATTTACTAATCTTGAAGATAGAAAAAGTTTAAAAACTGAACTCACAGCCAATAATTGGAAAATATTTTCAACTGATGTTCTTGAATCTATTTCAGGCATGTTACTACTTTTATATGATTATATTTTATAGTATTATGTATAATTTTAACATCATGATGTTATTTTTATTAAAATAATGATGTATTTTACTAATTTTTCAGATAAGTCAAAACTCAACTGTGATGCTTTACAAATTTTATATGATCCTGAATCTAATGGATTAGGTGACTTAGGTGCTCGACTTGGGCCAGTTCAAATTGGGAAAAAGTCATTAATACGAGATACTAATCTCGCTACATTTGATATTGAATATGAGAGTAGAGCTTTATACATGGTTCTGTTTGATAGTGAACGTACTGATAATATTTTAGATTGTGCACAAATCAATCTAAAAAAGAGCATTACCTTAAAGTAGTTATTTTTATTTTAAATAATTAAATTAATATATAGGTAATACATATAAATACATAACTATATTTTTTTTAGAGGATTTGTTAATGAAACAAAAATAAAACTTGAATTGACATTATGGCAAAAATCAAAATTTGAAATCACTAATGTTTATACCAAAGCTGATTCAATTCAAAATGACATAACTTTAGGATTACATGAAATGCCTTCAATTCCGAAAACATATAAGACACCATTGAGTATAAATAATAATTGTTTGGGTGTTGGTAAAATTTTTAATCCAACTGGTAAATTATTTCCTGCTGGAGTTGAAAGACAAACTCAAGATAAATATGCTGTTGGTGACTTAAGTGGAAAATATAATTATGATAATTCTAATTGGGATACATATTTACCTCTATTTGGAAGCAATAGTGTTATTCATAGATCATTAGTATTATACATGTAAATAATAAAGTAAATTTTATTTTATGCAGGAATTAATATAATTTATTTTATTTTAGAAATAAGGAAATTTTGACTTGTACTACATTATTACCATTTACTGGTCCAAATTCTCAAACTAAAGTAGCTTATTTAACTTCAGAAGCTATTTTTCGCTATCCTTTAGTTGGCAGAATTGTGTTTCGACAACCTATTGACATTGGAGCAACTGAAACTGTAATAATAATTGAAAGTTTAGTTCATGCTGATGGTACTACACTTAAAGATTCAGATGAACATAGGTGGTCTATAAATATACAACCACCTGGAAAAGACTTTTATAATTGGATGGATCGATGTAAAAGTGCAGGTCCTATATATGATCCTCACAAGGTATTATTAATTTATATAATCATAAAAATCTAATATTGTTTTGTCTGTATAATTATTAATTATCTTCAAAAATAGGTTGTGAAAAATAATATGACATATTTATGCAGTAAGTCTCTTAAATACTGCAGTGTAGGTGATTTATCTTCTCGTTTGAATAGTTTATCGATAGCCGGTAATAAATTAAACGCAATAGGTGTGAGTAGACATATGTTTGTGGATGAATATATGTCATTGTTTGGAATAAATTCAATTATTGGTAAATCATTGGTGATTTATGGTGACCATGGTCCACAAGCTCGTGGGGATCGTTTAGCTTGTTCAAAGTAATTTAACAATGATTGAAGATTATATGGTGGATGTATTTAATAATTAACAATTCTTGCACGACATTTTATTCACTTTTAAAGTTTGAATCATAATTTATTTTTAATTAGGCTAATTGTACTTGATACTTATAAAGTAGAAAAATTTTACAATTTGCATGTTTGTATGTAATGTATATACTGTAAAATATAAACACACTAAAAATACAAAAAAAATAGCTAAAACAATATTTTTAGTGCTGTTCTATAACTATAATGTTATTTATAGATTATTCTAAAATTTATTAAAATGTCAATTTTGTAGCAAAATATTTTGATTATTATATTTCTTAGCCATAGGTATATTAATAAGAAATATTTTTGATTACATTATGTACAATATATTGTTATATAATACTTATATAAATTTTATTATGATTTATTATAGTTCAGAATAACATTTATTTTTATTATTTTGTTGATAAATTAATTTTTTTGATGCTTCATGCATAAACATAACTTACATGACTAGATTCAGCTAAATATTTGATATAACCGACATGGTTAGAATGTTTTGTTGTTAACAACTTTAATTGTAGTGATGTTATTTTTAATTGAGTTAGTTGTCAGAACTATATAAATAATAAAATATTTAAGATATTGATTAAAATGTACTATTAGCTTAATTCAAATTGTTAAATAATAATTTTAGAATAGAAAAGGTGTGGCATCGAAAAGCTGTAGTAAAGGACTGGTACAGTGATACTGATACAAATTCTGTTTCTGGTAAAATTGAATTATTCCAACTTTCTGAGTATGATCCAGTTGATTTTGAAATCAACCTCCAAGGTATACAAGGTGGATATGATTATTATGTTTATTCAGTAAGTTAAAACTAAATTAGTTTTTAGAATATAATATTAGTTTATAATTTTTTATTTAATATTTATGCTATAATAGAATCCAGTTGATGGTGGTTTAGACTTACCATGTGAGAGTTCAAATTTATATGAAATTTGGGATCCATGGAATAATAAAGAGACTGGAGGTTTACGATACGGTGATTGGAGTTTGAAATTTGGCTCAATACTTGGTGCTAGAACCGTGTCTACTTTTGGAAATGATACCCATGCTCAGTTATTTGGTCAATTGGTATTTTTAGGTCGATCAGTAATGATACATGGTATGCCTTCTAAAAAAAGGTAGGTAAATATAGTTAAATAAATTCATATTTAATAAAACCATTGATTATGTACAAATTACCTAATATATTGTGTGTATGATTTCAATAGATTAGTATGTTCTACAATAGAAAGAGGATATGCACCTTCAGAAGCTCGAGAAATCAGAGCAATGGCTTCATTTCATAATCCTAATGGTTTTCTTTATGGTTATATAAGAATGGTTTGTATTTAATTGATTTAATTGATAATATTTCATTATGTAGTTGTAAACATTTTTTATTGTACATTTTAGACACAGCTAGTTTATAATGACGGAAGTAAAAGTGATACTGTAATTGAAGTTAATTTACATTACCCAGGCTTATATAATAAAAATATGGTAAATTTTAAGATGCGTATATTTAAATTTGACTTTGTTTCATTAATACTATTTAATTGTAGACTAAAAATCACAAATGGGCAATATATGTTAACCCAGTGGGTATTGACGCCACTGTTAAAGATCATGGGACTCGGTGCACTGCAGCTGGATATATTTGGAACCCGTACTACACACAACTTGCTGACCCATTAAATGTAAAGTATATGTATAGTCAATTTATTTGAAACCCGTTGTGGATGTATTATGTTTCATTAATTTATTGTGTTATTAAAGCATAAATAAATAAAATATTTAATTTAAATGTAATAGGTAAAGCTGTATGATGATGAATGTGGGCCCGATCAACCTTTACGATGTTATGTTGGAGATATATCTGGCCGTTTGGGTAATATTGACGTTGGTTCACATTCAATGGTATTTTCTGATCCAAATTTACCTTTAGGTACTTGTTTTCATTATTTAATATGCGTGTATGGTGTAATCAATTAAAATTTTTTTAAATTAATATATAATTTTAGAAGGAGACATTTCTGCAATTGGTAGATCAATTATTGTATTTTCAAAAAATGGTTATGACAAATTAGGTTGTGCCAATATTGAGTATGATAAAGATATTATAAAATATGTGAATGTAAGAAAAACTACTAAATATGAAACAACACATTTCTTTGAAGCTGTGAGGAATGCAATGGGGGTTCCTGATTGGATGATAACTATAGATAGTAGAAAAACAAAAATATTACATAATGGAGCTTGTATTCAATATTTAGTTCATTTTAAAGGTATATTTTGTATAAGATTATTCTAATTAATTATACCAATTTAATTTATACAAATAACTAGATTCCAGACAAGTTGTGTAATCTACTCGTTTTCTTAATATCAATAATAATTTTTAAAAATGTTTTTTTTTTAATAAGGTTATAAATTAATTTGTTTAAATTAGGTGCCCTTGCTAATGAATTGGAATCTGATTTTAGTAAATTATTATTAATTGGTCAATTGCCTGCTCAGACATTAAAAATAAGTGGTTATTACCCTACTAATGTTAAATTAAAAATTCCATATCAAGGATGTCCTGTATACAACAAAAAATTAGCTTCAAGTAAATATGATAGTGTTCAATAATTCAATTTTGGTTTATGTTGAATAATTAATAATTTATTTCAGGTATATCATCTGCTGGAAAGTGGATCACAAACAATTTTTTAATGATAATTGTGTTAGTTACATTTAACATATTTTTATAGGGTTGATTCCTAAACTCAAGTTAACTATTTTTTTATAATTATATTTTTAATTATCATTATTGATTATTTATGTATAATTTGTTTATATAACAGTATGAAACATTGGAATAAGTTTTTTTATACTTGTTAGTTATGAATTGTACATTATTATATGATATATTTTATTTTAGGATTTGAATTAATTAATATATTATTCCATGATTTTGACTAAATCATTTTTAATTTAATGACATGAATACATGATCAATACAATACAACATATAACTAATGTAAATTTGTTATTAAAAATATGAACTTTTAATGTTCATAAAAGAAGTTGTTCATATTATTATATATTTAAAAAATGTTTAGCCTTCTGAAAAAAATCTTGTGAGAAACCTTATATTAAATCTAGACATTTTTATATATCAGTAGTTCATGGTCATGTATTTCTTCATAAATATATTTTATAAAATTCATCAAAATCAAGAAAGTGTAAATTATTTTGTAGTTAATATACATATTATTTTTTATGTTAATACCTTAAACTTATAAAAAAATATAATACAAGATTCCTCATAAGTTTATTTTATTGAAATTAAAAAAGTTAAGTATAAAAGCCACTTACATTTTTTAAATCATTGAAATTCAAATATTGATGACCTTATTTTTATGTGTAAATAATTTTCTCTCGATTGGTTTTTTCATTTTATGGCAATTCAAAGAATTAGAATAGTAAAAGCTATTGAAACATATTTTTACTTTTATCACTATGAAATGTATTCAATCATTTTTTATAGATAGGTATTAAGTATAATATTATACTTAGTGGCTTTTACACTGAACTTTTTTAATTTTTTTAGTTGAATTATTAACAATTTATGAAGGTTTATATGAAAGCTTTTTTTAATCAAAAACATATTTTATTAAACATAATTCAAAAATAATAAAAAGTAGAAAATTTCATATGACTGTTTAAATGGTATAAACACCACAAAGAGTCAAAATATTTTGAAAAGTTGTATCTAGTTTATAAAATTCTAATTTAAAAATCTATATAGCTATTTAGTTTTAGAACTACAGCAAACAACTATTCGTCAAAAACTGGTTTAGCATAAAAATTTTAATAAAAATTTTATTTTTCCTGATTAGAGTAGCAATGAACAAATTCAAGTATTACATTACAGTACAGCTCTAAAAATGATAGCAGATAAATAATTACAAAAACTCTTATCAAATATATACTAATACATTTATTATTTTGAAAAATTAATTCTTGACAAAATCGATTTTGATTTTTTGTTTTACTTTAAAAATGAAGTAGAAAACTACAGAAAATTGTCATTTTCACAAAATATATTTTATAACATTATTTTGTAAACTTGATAACATTTAAAAAATATTTTGGGTCTTTTCTGCTATTTATTGTAATGTATTTTTTTAGTATGACTACGAAGTCTTCTTCCACGTTTGTAACGTTATCTTGTTTCTAATCACGGCCATCAAGTGATAACAGAGCATGTGACCACGTGAGGTTGTCCAATGTCGAAGCCCGGATTGTACGAAATACAAGCGCTATAAAAACAATTCACCGACTAATGACTACCAAGTGGTGAATACCGAGTAGATTTTAAACGAGGAAAACTCGGTCCATAATAATAAAATATAATTTTTGTAAATAATATTAAATTCAGGAGCGTAGTGATTGTGTAAAACAAGTCATTGCAGATAAACAGTAAAAACTAAAAACGGTGACATAGCTGATATCGTCGTCGGCATACGGCAAACGCAGTACGCACATACGTACGTACGTCGTAGACGTACACGGCACACACGCGCTCGCGAACGGGCACGTTTTAATTTATGTTTTTTATTTCGTATTAGTGTTTTAAATAATATACAATTACAGCAGAGTAACTCGAATGCTGATCCGATCAGTATATTAATAATAATAGTTCCTAAACAAACGACTTCTCCCCGACTGCGGCGGAAGATTATTTCTCTTTCGGATAAGTGCGCGATCAGTTTTCCATTGATCCCGGATTTCGTTAGTCGTCAAAGGCGTCGTCAATTATTGTTCTAGCAGCTATTTCAATCAAAATATCAACGTCGTTGCCCAGTTACCTTTTTATTAATTATTTACTCGATACAAATCGTCTAGTAATATAACTGTTTATTTCTGTTAGTTGTTAACAGTTACTACTAGGCACAATACGTTTTTCAAATCTTGGGTTTTGGTAAGTCAGTATTTTTAAAATAATAGCTATAACTACCGCAAGATAAAGTTTATACTTGTTTTTCATCACCTTGCATCATTTTTGATCCACACTTTTCAAACCATTTTTATTTTTGTTATTGTTTTTTTTTTTTTTTTGTTTTTAGGTAAATTATCCTTGCTCGGATGTTTGCGTATTTCTTGTACCTGTAGTTGTTTTTGTTCTGTTGTAATAAATTTATATACCTATCTAACATTTTATATGTAAACACTTGCGCATAGATACTAATAAAGACAACACTTGGCAAGTCTTATCTTACCGCTTAGTTGTTTAAATTGGCAATTATGTATTCAGATATAATAGAGTGAGTCTTAGATTTTCATCGTTCTTTAGTACAGATTTACATTTATTTCATGTTTTAGGTCACCATCAAAAGATTGTTTCTCCTTCAATGATCAGTCTTTATCTTATGATATGGCTGAGGTAAAGAGTATTTTTATAGTATTATTTTTCATATTGTTTGAAGGTATTGTTTAATGTTGTACTTTTTATTTATTTTAGGTGAATGAGATTAATAATCAAGCTAATTTGGATTATATTTTTGATTCATACTATTCGTCGTAAGTTATTTTATGATTATTAAATATAGGTATATTTAATTTAATCAGTGGTGGCTCGCGTTATGGGGCACATGGGCATGTGCCCCACCTTCAAAATTGAAAGAAAGAAGAAAAATTTAAAATTAAGTAGGTAGTGTTTCTTCCATTACTATATAGTTAATATATTGAAAAAAAAATGTCATCAAATACAGACATGCAGTATTATACGGGCACAAATATGGCCCGATCAATGTTACTAGATTTTCCCTTTATTCGACACAAATTATACAGCGTTGTTGGGCACAAGGTTACACATACCTTATGTTTTAATATTCTATAATAATACATAAGTTTAAAGTTGTGATTGTCGAAAATGAGGGAAATATTTGTGTCCTATCTTCAATGAACCCCACGAGCCGCCACTGTATTTAATTATGTACATCATACCTACTCATGTGGGAGATTTTATGTTAATGATTTAATGATTAAGTAACGGTATTTTTTCTTTTAAATAAGAATAATTATACCTCATGTAAGAAAAACAAAGATAGTATGTGAGACTAGTATTAGTTGAAAATTTAATTTTACAAGTTACTTATAACTATATTTATTATTGAATTAGGTTATTAGATCAAGTGTTCTAAGTAAAGTTAGTAGCAAATTGATTTAATTTTTGTTACAAATATATTAAAATATGTAATTATAATAATTTATATTGACCTTTTTTAAATTATTTAAATTTGTCTAGAAAAAATGTTTTTATGGTTATATTAAATATTTTAGTAATTATTTATAAGTCTAGTCTACTATTTTTCATGAATATAGCAAAAAGATTCAATAAAATAGCGTACAATAAAATTATTTGTTTAGTTTTTTTATAAGAAGTTTAAGGTTTTGTTTATTAAAGTATAGGATTTTGTTTTAAATTTCAATCATATTGATGAGACAAATTAAATTTCCTTAAAATATAATGTCAAATAAACAATGAAAAATAAGCATTTTAAACATAAAAAAAAGGGTGAAGTAGGTAACAGCTCTGCTGTAAAGTAGGTACGGAACGTAATTTGTTTTAGAGTAAGTCATTAATGACTTAAATTTGTTAAATTTGAATATAATGATCAATCAATGTACACAGATAAAATTATTCTTAGCAAAGATAGTTTTACAGCCTATATATTTTTAAATTATGTATTATGATGAATTAATATTGCTTTTATAGTAATTTGTTTCATTATTAATAATACTGTAAGTTAAATTAAATTTTGCTAAAAAACATTTAATTAATTACATTATTGTTATTAACTTAACAGGCATTATAAATTTATCGTAGAACAGGTTAATTAGGTTTGTAATATAAATAGGCTATAATAAAAATTAACCTTTGATTAAATATTGAAATGATTAAAAAATTTTGAAAATATTATTTTTTTAATATATTAATAAATGTTAAAGTTTTGAATCCTCACACTAAATACTTTTAAATTATAATAAAAATAACTAAAATCATTATTGTTTGTACAAATATCTATTTTCATTTACATTTGAAGTTGAAATCTATGAAAAATAATTGCTTAATTTTTTAAGATTGTTATTAATACACAATTTTCTGGTTGTGTTATTTTCTTTGAACTTGTTGAGACTGATCATATTAAGCTATGTATTAAAAGAAAGAATATTTAAAATTTTTCTTTATATTTCAATCAAAATATTATCAACACTTGTTTTTTTAGAACCTTTATTGTTCAGGATTGAAATATTTTTTTTTTTTAGAAACCAGGGTTATACATTGTTTTGATTATTTAGCAAATAGTTTCACTATATAGCTACAGTTAACTCAATTCTTAAAATCATTGTACAAAATATATTAAGTACCTCGTTAATATATTATTTCTATTTGTTACAATTCATTTACTTGTCTATAATTATTAATTATATTGTAATTTTTAAATATTTATACTACTATAATAAAATGTTATGTTAGGAATAAAAGAAATGATTAAGAATATACATTTATTAAGGAACTATTAAATTCATATTTTACATTTAATTATTTAATGATGAGGAATAGTCTACACTTTTGATTAGCAGAGCGTTTACCTACTTTCTCCCTTTTTCAAACAGTGATGTACACATAATTTTCAAAATTTATGTTTAATTTAGCCTTAAGTATTGAAATTATTTTAACATGGTTATCTATAACTATCATTTTTATTTTTCAGTGTATCAAGATGTAATACAGGTTTTGAACTTCCAGAAGACTGTAAAAATATGAGTTTTTCAGAGCTATTTGATCAGGAATTGTTTAGTACTCATGGTAAATATATTCATCATCATTATTATTTTTTTTTTGGTATATTTTAATGTACAAAATATATTTTCAGAAAATAAAGACTGTCAAATCACAATCAAAATTGAAAAAGAAGAACCATTAAATGAATGCTATTCTACTGATAATTCTATAGATACTACTGGTAATTCGAGTTTTGTAAAAGTAGAAGAAAATATTTCTTCCTCATCATTATTACCAAAAAGTTTTGCTCCAAAGAAAGGTATTAATAGAACTTCTATAAAAACAATGGGAACTTCAGATGTTGAACATCTCATTCATAATCCTTTTTGTGAAATAGAAGAGGTTAATAATCACATTTTGGGGAATATTAACCCATCTATTGTAAAATGTGAAATTGAAGATGTTAATGAAAATGTTGAAAAAGGCAATAATACAATTTCTATTAACACTCCAGATAATTGTGTTAAACATCTTTATAATCCTTTTTGTGAATCAAAAGATTTAAGCGATAATCAAATTCCAGTTCAAGTACAAACACCAATTATTAAATATGAACCTAAAGATAAAATTGACAATATTGATAAGAAACCTATTGTTGAAGAAATTAATGTAAACCTTCATTATTCTGGCGATAGTTCACCAAATAAATTTTATAGCCACAATATGGTGAAAGAGGAAAATAATGTCAGTAAATATGATTCACAAAATGCAACTAATATTCATAATATAGTAAAAGTTTCAGATAGTGTTACTCCTTATTCATTAAAAAATTCTTCTTCAAAGCATCAACAAATTAACAAAATTTCTATTAAAACTATTGAAAATTGTAATGTTAAACATTTTTACAATCCTATTTGTGAACTGAAAGATTTAGATGATAATGGAATTCCACTTAAAGTTCAAACACCAACTTTAAAACAAAAACCTATTGATAATAACAACACTGCTGAAGAAATTAATGTGAGCTTCCAGTCTGCTGATGATTCACAAACTGTATTAAATAGCCAGAATATGGTGAAAAATAATGTCAGTAAATATGGTTCAAAAAGTCCAATTAATAGTGATAATGTGGTGAAAGTTATAGATAATGTTACTCCTTTGTTATTAAAAAAATGTATTCCAAAATATCAGAATGTTCCTAAAGTGTCTTTAAAAACTATTAATGATATGAAGTACCCTGTGTACAGTACATCAAAACATTTTAGTTCTAATCAAGTGTCCGTTAAAGTTCAAACTCCAACTGTGAAATTTGAACCTGAAAATGTCAACGACTCTACAGATAAACCCTTTCTTAAAAAGAAAGTGAAATCATGTTATTCTGCTGATAGTCGCAATTTTGTAAAAGATGAAGATAGAGCATCATCTTTATTATTAAAAAATTCTACTTCTAAACATCAAGTTAGTAATAAAAGGTCTATAAAATCTGTTGAAAATGGTGGAGTTAAACGCATTGCACATAATCTTCATTTTGAACAAAAAAAAGTTGGTAATGATCAAATTTCAGTGAAAGTTTCAAAGCCTGTTATAAAATGTGAACCTCAAAATTTCAATAATACTAGTGAAGAAAATGTTAAGATGATAATAAATCCATATTATTCTACTAATGATTTACAAAAAACTGCTGAAAGTCATAACTTGGCAAAAATGAATGAAATTATTTTACCTTCTAATTCCAATTCTAATATTAAAAACCCTGCAGTATACAATCTTGATTATAAACCTAAAGATCTAGGTAATTTGACTTCGGTAAAAGGTAAAATGCCCATTATAAAATGTGAAACTGAAAATAATAGCAGTATTCAACATAACATTATTGAAAATAATTTAAAATCTAAAAAAAAGACAAAATCTGTCAATCCAAAAAGAATTCATTCTGTTGATTTAATTGATGGAAATACAGAAAACCAAGAAGGGATCATAAGAAAACCGAAAACTATTGTATCTTCTACAAAAACCGTGGATATAGATACTCAAACCGATAAAAAAAAAATTTCTTGGGAAGAATTTAGAGCTAAAAGAGAAAAAATGGGTTTGATAAATATTTCAGGTAATATTTTTGTATATCAATATATTTTATATTGTATTTCATGATTTAAAGATGTATGTAATTCAATTTTAGAAATTGGAGAAGAGCCTGGTACAGATGTTGTTACAGAAGATGATGATAAATTGAAAGCAATGAAAGAAGAGTTTGATAGAACCACAGCTGAACATTTCACTAGTCAAAAAAGAAAGATTAATGATAAAGAAGATGAAACTATTACTGCTAAGGAAATAAACAACGAAGAAGAAGAATTGAAGAAAAAGCGCATGAAAATTGAATACATTAAAAAACTTCTACCATCATCTTTTGGTAATATTACTAATATTGCTAAAAAAAAAAAAAAAAATTTTGTAAACTTTTTTAATATTTAGTAGCTTTATGTTTATTTTTATTATAAAAGATATAAACATGTATTGTTATTTGCTAAAGCTATTATTATTGGAATCAACAAAAATTTTTTTGAATTCCTAAAATTTTGGAGTTAACTTACATTTAGTTTTTGAAGTTAATCATATTATATCTTCAATGATATTTTTAATAATCAATAAGCAATTAAACTTAAATTTATCAATTTTGTTTTGACATAATTAAATAGAAATCTGGAAACTTAAAATAATAAAAATTGTTTTATACTTTTAGCATCAGAAATTGCTAAGACCTCGAGTTTGATGAAAGGCAGTTTAGTAGAGGATAACGGTAAATTTTATAATGAAATTTATAATCATAATCTATATTTTTTATTAAATAATTTTTATTTTTAGATAATGAAAATACTTCTGATGATTCGACATTGTCCAGTGATAAAACACAAGGAACATATTTAAACACACATGATAAGTTTCAAAAAAAAGGCTACCAATCTAGAATGCATTCTGCTCACCGTGTTTTATCTAGGTTAGAGTTATAAGTTTTACTAAACAATTTACTAGTTATATAATCTATGCTATTAGCTAATATTTTATCTTATTTTTTTTATAAGATCTGATTATAATAATAAAAGTAGCCGCTCGTCATCATCTAGTTCAGATGATTATTATAATCGTAATAGAACTGATGTTCCTTCACAAGGAGTACAATATAGTCAAACTGCACGAACCACTCTCCAAAGGTAATGAGGATATGCATTATAGTATAATTATACTAGAAAGTGTATTCCTAACTTTTTGTTATTGTAAAAATTAAATTATTTAGACCTAAAGATCAGAAAAGGGTGGTATATGTTGGACAGATACCAATCAAATTTGGAAAACGTTACTTATACAATCGGTTCAAGGAATTTGGTACAATACAATCTTTAACACTTCATAAAAAACCAGAGTGTGTATAGGAAAACTATCAAATATTATAATTTATACATTTTTTTCATTTATATAGATAGATAATTTTTTTATATTTTATAGCTTCCGTGTTTATTATGCATTTGTAACATATTCTGAGAATTTAGAGGCTGATCGTGCTATTAATCATGGAAATGATGATGAAAGCCAAGTCCAATTGGATATTAGATTTGGTGAACGGAAACAAACTCAAACTCCTTATTATGATTTAGGTAAATAATAGTATTAACTAAAATAATCAGTTTTCAGTGTAATTAAAAATTGTTTAGATGATGAATGGTTAACCGACTGGTATGGTTACAAACAACCTTTAGCACCAGTAGTAAAAACAGAAGATATTGAAAAAGTGTCTTTTGAAGAAGAATTGCAAGAATTTTATAAGCTTTCTCAAATTAAAAAGTTAAATCAAAAGTCTTCTCAAGCCTCTTGACATAAATTTTTTATTTATTTCATCTTATAGTGTTGGAATAAAAATGTAATAAATATTGTTATAATTTTTCGTATTTTATGTTGTTTTGTTTTATTTTACAACAAAATATAAACCTTAAAAAAACAATTGAGTCATACAAAAAAATCATGTAAATAATTAAGAAGAAAAATAATTCTTATTCTTTTAAAATATTTTCTTCTGTGTTGTCTTGAACAATTTTAGCTACTTTTCGGTACTCTATTACACTTGTTTTTGTACATTTCATTTCAGTCCAACTAATAGGAGTCATTGGATAGCCTAAAAATTATCCAAGATGAATATAATCAAGTCAATTAAAATCATTGATCAGTAACACTTACCAAATTCACTACACGCAATAACTACACCAAGTTCATTTTCAGCAGTGGTTAGTTTAAAGGTATGAGCTTCAGTCATAGGCAACTAAAAAATAAATGCAAGTCAAAATTATGAATAGTAGTTTATATTTAATAAGATTAAACAACAAATGTGTCGCTTACGATTCTAGCCAATATTATGTCTCCTGGTCTAAAACACTGTAACATATCAATTTTGTCAATTTCTTTCATGCGCACATCTTGTCTTCTAAGATTACTTCTGTATGTTTCATTCAGCTCATGTCCACAGACGCTTGTGATAAGACACTTGCACATATCTTGGTTTAATGTAGTCACCTAACAAAATAATTTTTAACATCTTCATTATTCTCTGTTTAATAAACATAATTTATTGATAAAAAAAATAAATTCAAGCTATATTACCATCGCTGTTACAATATCCCCAGGTGCTGGAACAATAGTCTGATCTTTACTTTGAACTTCCACGACAGATATCTAAAAAGAATGATTAGTTTTAATAATAGTTTAACTTTTTTTTAAATTTAATTCAATTGACTTTTATTTACTTTGTTTGTGTTATCTACATTCACAATTCCAGCCAAACTAGAATAAATATAATCTTGTCTTTTATATGTCCCTTTACCTAAAGTGTGTGTCGAATCTAATCTACAGAGCCGTTGTCCTAAATATAAACAAATCATTAAAGTAAAAAGTTTATTTTGTTTTATCTCAAAACATTAAATTTTATTTTAATATTTCAATTGATCAAAAAAGTGAGTAAATTAATTTAATTTAGCATAAAACATATATTTTCAATCAAAATATTAGTGGTTAAAAATGAGTACATTCAATTACTAATTAGTGTTTTAATAACAAAAATAAAAAACATTTTTAATAAAAAAATCATATTATGGATTAGGTATAAATTTAGCTATTTTAATTAAATTTTAAAAGCTATTTATTTTCAATTTTCAATTAAAACCTTAGCATAACTTAATCAAATATAAATCTGAATATAGCAATGCTTATGTATAAATTTGAATTTTGTGTATCGCTTAGTGAACAATATTAACTAATGCAAGGTAGACGGTAGTAATCTAAAATATAGCTAATTAGAAAATTACAAGTACCTAAAGGCTATAATAAAAATAAAAGCAATTTAAAGTGATTTATTAAGAGGTATACAAAGTAAACTAACTTCTCTAGTGTATTTTTTTCTAGTTAATATACTCACTAAATTTATATTGATAGAGATATATACTATTGTATGGTAAATATAAAAAGGTGGAATTAATGAAAGTCAGTATATATTATACATTTGAAATGCGGTAAATATGCTTAGAATAATATTATATATTAATATTTTTGAAAATCATAATGAACAAATTGCTTACTGGCTACTGTAAAAAAATTTCACAAAATATTGACTGATTTAAAGTATAAATGAGTATTCAAGATAATTAGGCGTCTCATACTATTATTAGTTACTGGATAAAAATATAGATATTATTAAGAGTAAGAATAAAAACTAGTGTAAAATTTGTAATTTTAGGGAAAATATAAGTATAATAATTATAAATTAATAGGTAAATATTATTAAAACCTTACCCGGCACACAAATTATTTTTTTCTCCATTGAAAATTGACTGTTTTAATGTATTATTATTAAAGTTATTAAACTAAAGTAGAATAGTAATGGATAATAGATATATACCTAGTATTTTTTATTATTTTAGTATATTTATTATTACTATAATATAGTACACTACTCATATTATACTTTACAGTCACAATTAAGATATCTTTAATCGTGTTTACAGTTTACATGTGGTTAGAAATATGGAAAAAAGATACGAAT